TTTTCTTAGGCTTAATGCTAAGATTTGTTCTCTATCCTTAGCCGTTCAAGGCATTGGATTAAGTGTTAGAATTTGGTTGTGTCGTTTAGTATAACAACTCAACCTGGTATTTTGAAAGCGAGGCTCATCGCATGGTAGGCCTACTTGGATGATGTTGTATCATTGATGAATAGTGACTCATCGCATAGTAGGTCACTATTTGGAAACAAGGGGGAAGATAGGGGCTCATCACTTGGTAGGCCACTATCAACGAACAACGTCATTTGTAGGAATGATGATGCGGAGGTAATCAAGTCATTCAGTGACGTGAAAGTATAACGACTGTGATTAGAATAACGGCACATCGCATGGTAGGCCACTATTTTTTATTGTTCCAAGGAGATAGAACGTTCAGCAAAGATCAGATAGCGGATCATCGCATAGTAGATCACTATCTAGATCGAATGATAAGTAGGTGCTCATCGCATGATAGAATACTATTTGGCAAGTGAAATCAAGTCGTTCAGTGACATGGGAGTATAACGACTGTGATTGAAGAGAAAATAGAAGAGAGAACATCAAAAATTTTAACGAGGTTCGGCAACTTGCCTACGTCCTTGGGAGCCACACAATAATTTCCTTTGAATATTAAAGAGGATTACAAAGTTTGCAAAGAAGATGATCTCAAACTCCTTGAGATCTCTCTATCAAAAATCGCTACTGTAGAATCGCTACAAGAACGCGCGGGATTTTTCTTTGAAAAATCACTGCTTAGGAATCGTTGGAGAAAGCACTGTCAAAAATTCACTACAGGCGCTCGCGAAAATCTCAACTCAAAGTGGCGGCCAGGGTTCCCTATTGATAGGGAAACCCTAAGTCAAAAGCAGATCCGGGAATCTATCTTTTTCTGCGAGTTCGCCTGACAAGCTGGTTCGCCTGAACACTCGAAGCTCGCCTGACTTGTGAAGTTCGCCTGAACTCACAAATTCGCCTGACTTATGTTCGCCTGAACTGATCGAGCTTCGCCTGAACTCAGAGCTCGCCTGCACTTAGAGTTCGCTTGCACTTGGAGCTCACTTGCACTTCCAAAGCTCGCCTGAACTGTACGTTCACCTGCATGGTGAGTTCGTCTGTTTTCCAGACTTAGAAAATTTTCAGCTTGTTCCAAGGTTTGGGTCTACATCCCCAAAACCAACAATCTCTCACTTGGAAACCAAACCGCCATCAGCAAGCTCTCTTCAACTTAGCAAGCACATTCTCTTACTCGGAGAATCTCTTCAATCAATATCTTTCTCATAGTTTGGCTCCGCCCTCATCTCCTAAGCATGAAGGTCAACTGAAGTTGCGCACAATTCTATTTTCTAAATGGTCACTAGATTTGTCAACATATCTGCATGATTTTGGCTTCCCGAAATCTTCTCTAATAGTAACTTCTCGTCCTCTATCAGCGAGCGTATGAAATGATAAAGTACGTCGATGTGCTTCGTTTTGGCATGATATATTAGGGTTCTTGGCAAGGTGTATAACACTCTGGCTATCACAATAAAGAACTTTGTTCCCCCGCTTCAGACCCAACTCTTCCAGACACCCGGTTAACCAAATCATCTCCTTGCTGAATTCAGTCACTACGACATACTCTACCTCAGTCATGGACAAAGTCACTGTCTTCCTTTCACAATGAATCTGACATTGTATCTCTTGCTTCCATAACTCTCCTGCTTGACCTGGTAAACTCACTTGTTATGTAAGGCTTTCTTCTGTGTAGGTTGCTAGGCTAACTCACATGTCTCGTTCGAGTGGAGAGAATCCATCTCTTCTTGCTCGCATGCTCCCACTACTGAGATTCACTAACTTGTATTACCTCCTCATAACACTCTGGTTATCCGCTATCTGTCAAAAATAAATAATCTAGTGATGAGAGATATTTGGGATTCGGTTTAGGTACCCTGAATGACCTCCTAAGCTCCTCGCTCTGGGTAGTCGTCTCTGTACCTAGAGTCTCTTCCGTTTTTCGGTCAAAGCTAACATTGTTTCCCCCATCTGGAAGTTTCGCTAAATCCATATACTCGAATGCATCTGCATCCTTAGTGTTGCTCCCACTACTTTGGTTATCCTTTGTATTGTCCATGTCCTTGTACATTACCTTTTCATTGAATATGATGTCTCGGCTCCTGATGATTTTCATATTCTTCTCATCCCAAAGACGATATCCAAACTTATCAATGTCATATCCAATGAATGTACACTTCTATGACTTAGCTTCTAGCTTGTCTCTGATATGGCTACTGATATGAACATATGCCACGCAACCAAAGACTCTCAAGTGTGAGAGATTAATCTTCTTGCCACTCCAAACCTCCTCTGGAATCCCAAAGTCTAATAGAACTGAAGACCCATGATTTATTAATTAGGTTGATGTATGCACCGCGTCTGCCTAAAAAGTTTTTGGTAGACCTGCATGTAAGCGCATGCTCCTCGCACGCTCTGTCATTGTTCTTTTCATCCTCTCTACAACGCCATTCTGTTGCGGTGTTCCTGGAGTAGTCCTCTCTAAATGAATCTCATTCAAAGCATAGAACTTCTTAAACTCCTCCAGCTTATATTCTCTACTATTATCTGATATCAGACACTTTACTTTTAAATTTGTCTCGTTCTCCACCATGGCTTTCCACTTCTTGAAGATTCCAAACACCTCTGACTTGTGCTTCATGAAGTATACTTACACCTTTCTCGAGTGATCATCGATAAATGTGACATAGTATGCTGAACCTCATGAAGTATACTCACACCTTCCTCAAGTGATCGTCGATAAAGGTGACATAGTATGCCGACCCGCCAAGAGAAGACACGCTAGCTGGACCCCATACGTCTGTATGAACAAGCTCTAGCTTGTGAGCTTTAGGTGGTCTTCCACTCTTCTGAAAGCTGACCCTTTTCTCTTTCCCGTAGATGAAGTCTTCACAAACACAAACTTACACTGAATTGATGCCGATTAACTTTCCCTCTGAGTGTAGAATCTTCATACCCTTCTCACTCATATGTTCCAACCTATTGTGCCACAGATCTGCACTCTCCTTGCCCGCTGCAATTGCGAGGGTGTCACTCGCATGTGAAGTTAGGTAGAGTGTTCTGGTCTTATTGTCACGAGAAACCACCATAGTACCGTTGGAGATTTTCTACAAATCCTCAGTAAATATCGTAACATAGCCTTGTTCTCCAAGCTGGCCAACCGAAACAAGATTCATCTTCAGCTTCGGTACATGTTTGACGTTTTTCAGATTCCACTTAGAGCCCTTCTCTATAATTGCACGTCACCTCTTCTAACAATACTACAGGACTCATTATCCCCTAAGTACACTTTTCCAAAGTCCCCTACTACATAGTTCTGAAAAAGCTTCCTATTAGCAATGGCGTGAAATGAGGCTTCTGAATCAATAACCCATGAATCGGAATCGTTGTCCATAACAAGGATCAATGCATCTTGCACGATATGAGCCTCATGCTCATTCGTATCCTTCTTTGGTGCTTTACAAACTGAAGACATATGGTCCTCCTGACCGCAGTTCCAACATTTCTCTTTGATAGGCCTCACCTTCGAGTTCGAACTCTTCTTCTTCGACTTTGATCAATTCCTGTTCTGGTTTCCTTTATTTCGGCTTCGGCCTCCCTGCTCGAGACTTAGAGCTGAACCTGAACCTTCTGATTTGTGTGATTTTCTTCTAACCTCATCGGATAGAATCATACTAATAACCTCATTCAGCTTCAACTTCTCCTTCCCTACCGAGTTGCTGATTGTGGTCACGCAACCTGCCCAACTATCTGACAACTGTGATAGTATCAATAGGGTCTGCACTTCGTTATCAAACGTGATGTCGACTGAGATAGTTGATCAACAATCATGTTGAACTCGCTGAGATGCATCGTGAATGAACATCATTCTGCCATCTTAAGGTTGAAGAGCATTTTGACGAGATACACATTGTTTGCAGCTGGCAGTTGCTCGTACATCTTCGCGAGCGTTTCCATAAGCCACACTGTCGTCTTCTCCTTTAATATATCGTGTGTGACTAATTTTGTAAGCGACAATCGAATCCTCCCTAGAGCCTTTCGATCTAATATTTTCCAGTCCTCGTCGAACTCATCCTCCTTCTTTCCTTTTGTTTTACCCATCAACGGACGGTAAAGATCCTGCTGGTATAGATAGTCCTCTATCTGCGACTTCTAGTAGGCAAAATCTGATCCGTCAAACTTCTCAATCTTTGATTTGTCTTCTTCTGCCATAGCTCTTACAGATTTAATCCGAACGAAGCTCTAATACCAGTTGTTGGGAATTCATCCTATCGACAACCTGTCAAATAAACCCTCTCGCGAAACGTGCCCTCCGGATCTTGTGTCGAAAGATGGAAACAAGAAATCACAGCAAATAAAAAAACTTTGCAAAGAAAAAAATAGAAAAGAGAACACTAAAATTTTAACGAGATTCGTTAACTTGTCTACGTCCTTGGGAGCCACACAATAATTTTCTTTGAATATTAAAGAGTATTACAAAGCTTGCAAAGAAGATGATCTCAAACTCCTTGAGATCTCACTACCAAAAATCGCTGCTGTAGAATCGCTACAGGAATGCGCGGGATTTTTCTCTGAAAAATCGTCACTCAGGAATCGCTAGAGAAAGCGCCGCCAAAAATTCGCTACAGGCGCTCGGGGAAATATCAACTCAAATGGCGGCCAGAGTTCCCTATTTATAAGGAAACCCTAGGTCAAAAGCAGATCTGGGAATCTGTCTTTTTTGCGAGTTCGTCTGACAAGCTGGTTCGCCTGAACACTCGAAGCTCGCCTGACTTGTGAAGTTTGCCTGACTTATGTTCGCCTGAACTGATCGAGCTTCGCCTAAACTTGGAGTTCGCCTGAACTCAGAGCTCGCCTGCACTTGGAGCTCGCCTGCACTTTCAAAGCTCGCATGAACTGCATGTTCGCCTGCATGCTGAGTTCACCTGTTTTCCAGACTTAGAAAATTTTTAGCTTGTTCTAAGGTTTGGGTCTACACCCCCATAACCAACATGTTTACCCATATAATAAATAGGAAGCGTATACCTTCATGAACATCTAACAGATATAGGAGAAAAAAACAATTACCAACATTTATATATCCATAAAAAAAACACGAGGAATGTGCATGCTTCAACATCATCTTCCACTTGATGACACCATAGGACAATAAACAAGCCTTTAACAGCTCCAAAAATGTACAAAATACAACTCGAGCTTGATCAGCCAAGCCCGGATTAGTACAAACATCAAGTGATGATTTCTCTGACAAGCCAATCCAAGGTAGGGTACGCAAAACACAGTATCAAGAACGAAGGCAACGCTAGCAATAGAGTTACAACTATGTACAGGGCCAAAATAATGGCACTGGCAGGAATAGCATAGATGATGATGAGTAGGAAAATTATGACAAGTGGGAACTTGGAGGTCAAATGTACAAAGAAAACCAGCAACTTACGAAGAAAGGACTGTGTTGTCTCTGCATTCCAATAGTTAGTACCAGTTCTCGAAAGCTCCAGATTGATGTTGGAATGATCTCTATCATTTGAAGGCCAATGTGAATGTTGGTCGGCATGGTAAGAAGAACAAGAGTTTTTCCTTTCACCATTCATGCTCTCGACCATCCACAACAAGATGAAATTCTTTCGAGGAAATTTGAGGACCCCGTTGTAAACTAACCGGAAAGACAATAAGTTGCACCAAGGGCATGAAATGAATAAGGGTAGCTGAATTGGGAGATTAGGGAACTTCACAATGGCTGATTGCAATCGGAGGACACAGTTCTTGCAAAGAGTGTGACCGCACCATAAAACGTAAGGGATATTTTCGACGATGTTGAAAGATTCCAAGCATATTGGGCACTCAAGGCCTTCGCATGAGGAAACTTCGTCTTCGGAATCGGGATCAACATGACGAAGTTTTGATGAGCCATTTCTTCCTCCTATACATCCGACTATAGAGTTTGAGGCAAAACTCCACATGGCGACCAAGGTTCTTGCAGTATCACAAAGCGAATGGGTGTATGCAATCTAATCAAATGGACAGTGCACCAGAACACAGCATAAACTCTGAAAAAACACAAATAATTCTCACCACAAGGTTAAAAAAATTGTCTGTATAATTCATTTACTCAATGAAGATTTTAAAGATACAGCCAAAAATGAGATGGATAGGCACCCTCAGTATGCTTGCGAGCAGCTCAAGATTGAATTCATTTTTTTTCTTTCAAAAAGGTATATATTTTACATCCTCTTCAAAATGAGAGAAAGTTCCTCTAGAGTCTAGACAAGTCAAATCATTAAACTCTTACATCACAAGCAACCATCTCCACTACAAGTCAGAGTTTCCTCTGTTAGTTACTAGGAAGTGGGTATTACAATGAGGTCCGGTTTCCAAAAGAGGCTGAACTTGATCCCACATGTACCCACCCATGTATATTTCCTAACTCAAGAAGTTACAGGTCTACCAGCAGTGTTCTAAATGTCCTAATGTCAAGGATATGTCCATTACAAAATTTTCACAGCCGATGGAAGATACTGCAGCTGGAAGATATCAGTGATATTTAGTTAAATATTGGGGTGTCATATCAGATAACATGTATACATACGATGGATGTTTCATCCTTAAATCGTGAAATTACTAATATTTCCAAGTGCATAATACTGGGAATAAATCTATTTGATATATAATTTCAAGTTATACATTTTCAATATCTTCTGAGCCAAAACTGTGCATAGCATCCATGATGAAAATTGGAAGAGAGATTTAAATGGTGAGAGATGTAGAGAAAAAAACTTACAGGGAACAAATAATTGATAAAAATAGGGGCATATTAGAGGAAGAAATCGATGGTGAAGGTGGATTAGAGGTGGTATCACGAAACATCCATCTCAAGGCAAATGGTCAGGTTTTTTTTAAGAAAAAAGATTGTATACAACAAATGGTCAAGAGTTGAAAGAGCAACGGAACTCTTGAAAGAGAATTTAGGCTCGATTGAGCCCTAATTCTCCTTTTCAGGTTATATAAGGGAGTACTGATTTGCTTTTAAACATATTTGAGTCATAAACCGAATCCGATCTTTAAACAAGTAAAAGGAAATATGATATTGTAACATTTCGCCTAGTAATTGGAGTCTGAAATATCACCCGATAAATGAGGAAAATAGCGATATTTCACCGAAAAATTGCCAAAAATGGTAATGATATTGAGACCATGTCTTCTTGTGGTAACCCTTATACAAAGACATATTGACAGAGATATCAGTTATGTGGGCTGGTGTTTAAAACAATGCCTATCAGTTTGCACTGGACATGTAAACCCCGCTTATTGTTACGCCTTGTTTTGTGTGCGGGAACCGAGTAAAGTGATAACGGAACGAAACAAGGAATGAAAAGAAGTTAACGTGGAAATGGTATGCTCATTTCCGTTCTCATCACGTTTGGGTGTAATTAAATAATGAAATGGAAATGAGCATATTTGGAAGTCATGTAATTTTTATTTTCTGCTGTAGGAATGGATATTCCCTAACATCTCATTAGGAATATCATTCCCACATAAAGTGGTAATTGATGAGAAGTGAAAATAAAATTAATAGCTTCTAAAATCACATCATGTTCGGTACGAAGGAATGAGAAGTAGGAATTGACATTTCATTCCCACTCATTCTCACCTACCAAATGAGGCAGTAGGGGTTTCCTTTAAATTGTATTGACTATGAATGAGGAAGAGGTTCTGTACATACTTCATTTATAGATGGAGACATCAACCATCTAAAAGTTGTTCCTCCAAGTTTTCCATTCTTAGCCAAAAGCATCCAGACTAGTTAGCATCACAAAGGATGGATCGAGCACCCCTAAAGATCTTACGGTGAAGTCTTCTTTTGTTGTTAGATTGAAATCATACCTATTTTTATCGCATTTTGAATTACTAGATAGAGATTTTTTTTTTTAAATATTATAATAAACGCTGATAGGTAAATTCTCCATCAAATACTAAGTTCATGGTAATAAATTAGAACATAATTATTTATGGTAATTTGCTGAAAACCCATGAAACTCTATTTCTTGAATTTTATCCTTGATTTCACATAAGTTAGCCTTAAATATAGTATTTTGAGGATATGATTTTCCTTAATTATCTAATAGTAACTACATATATAGATTATTGACTGATTCTGTTTCCAAGCTCAATAAAACCATCACCAGAGTACTAAAATTTGCCAATATCATATCAACTACAAGTTAATTACTCATGATCCCTCGAACCATAATAATTCCATATACCAGCCTCACAAAATAAAATTAAATAAGACAATACAAACATTACACGCATCAAATTTGCAACAAAAAATAGTGAATAAAAAGAAGGAAATTGTATCAAAAAATAGGGAGACCTTTACCAATTAAGAAGCAGAAATAAGAACCCCCCGGCTCTGGCTTAAGAACTACAGCCGATCTGATCTCCTTAGAAATATTAAAAGTCGTGACTTGACTAATCAATTAGTTAAGGTCCCCATTAATTCGTGCACCCACTTTTCTCCCAACTTTGTAGGCGGGACCCAACACCTGAGGAAGCGTAACGAATTGGGTAAAGATGGGTTATCATAACGTTGACCCCACGAATCATGCAAATTGAGCGTGGGAATGTGGGGACGAGTAGTAACTTGTTTCAACAATTTTTCTAAATAATATATGGGGAAAATTGTATTGGGAGCGTTGCTTTCAAAAAGAATAAACATCTCAAAATTTTTGAACTAGCTAAAAAAAATCAAAAAAATCTTTGACCCAATAAACCTGTCAAAATATCTCTTAAGATATGTAACTTTTTAAAGTGTTTCAAAAACGCCCTCCCTCTCTTTATTTTCTTTCCTTCCTTTTTTCCCCCTCTTTTTTTACCTCCTCATCTCTCATAAGTTCATAAACCTTGCTTATCTCTTTCCTTTATCTCATTTTTAACATTTCTCATCTCTCTCCTCTCCTCTCATCTTCAACCTCTCTAATCTCTCTCAACCTCTCTCATCTCTCTTCTCATCCCTCATCATCCTCTTTCATCGATGCCTTCAGCTTTGTGTTGTCTCTTTCAATATCACTGTCTCCCCTCCTCCACCCCTCTTCTCCTCCTCCTCCTCCACGTCTTTCTTTATTTTATGGACCAATAATATCAAGATTAATACTTTAGCCTTGACTTTGTTAAAAATAAAAAATAAAAAAATTTAATTTGTGCAATGTGCAGCAAATAAAAAGTAAATAAGTAAGCAAAAAATTTATTATTTTTAACCTTTTTATTCATAAAACTGTTAAGAAAAGTGATGAGAGGACAAAAAGAAGATAAATAGATGGTGAGAGGAGAGGTAGTGGTTGAGAAAGGAGTAGAAAAAAGACAGTTATTATCTTGGGAAAAATGTGTACATGCCCCAAAAGCAGAAACTGCATGTGACGAGGCCCCTCATAGTTTTTCCCATGTGAATCAGCCCATTGATGTGTGATACTTTATACTACAGCTCTTTTATCAATTATTACACGCCAGCTAAGCTAAAATCCCCAAATTATCCTTATCTTCTCTCCTCAATCCCTCAAACCCAGCACTCATATCCTCTCTCTCTCTCATCTCCTCTCTCTCTCTCTCATATCTCTCTCTCTCTCCTCTCTCTAAAAATAAGAGTTTTCTCAAGCTCGTCACCCTGGTCCTCGCCCTCCTCGCCGTTGCCGCCTCCGCTCAGGCCCCCAAGGCTCCCCTCGAGTTTGTCGCCGCCTCCCCTCCCCTCCTCCACCCGTCCTCGTCGCCGTAGATCGCCGCCGCTCCCCCGCCGTAGATCGTCGTCGCAGAGCTTGAGAAAAACGCTCGAAAAGCTCGGACAATTGAAGACTTGTTGAGGAGTGCAGAGAGATGATCCGAATGTATGATGTTAATGGAGATGGTGTTTTATGCTTTGATGAATTTAAGAAGATGATGCTACGAGAGTAGGTTGGTTTTTGAGATTGATCTTTACCGTAAATGATGATGTTATTGTGCCTCATTGAGATTTGGACATTACTTTTTCTTTTTTTTATTTGAGATGACTTTGATCAATTGAGGGTTCATGTTGACAATATATCTATATTTTTAATTTCTCACATGACTGTGGATTTATCCTTATGAGCTTCTGTATTTATAAATTGTGATCGATTCTGTTGTGGATGTTTTTTTAGTCACCAGGCCGAGACGTACAGAGCATTAATCCATTAGCTAGAAGAAGAAAAGAAAAAAAAAGAAAAAAATGCTTAACCAGCTACAAATAAATGAACGATTTAATTTTAAAAAATAGTCACAAGTTGTCCTTATTTATCTGCTTTCACGAGACATCCACGTCTTTTTGGAGGAAGCTGAATTTGTAATAAACCTAATGTGCGCAATTTTTTTGTATTTTAATTTCGAACAAATTTTTAAAATAGACCACTTTTAAAACTTAATTGGCAAAATAGGCTAAAAAATATTTAATTACCAAAAATTGTTGTAAGCTGAGATGGTAGTTATAAATCGTTGTTATAAATGAGGATACAATCATGTTTTTATAAATCGTTGTTAATTATATTTGGTTGTTATAAATGAGGATACAATCATGTTTTTATAAATCGTTGTTAATTATATTTGATAATAGTTATACCTAATGATATGTTATACAATCATGTTTTTATAAATCGTTGTTAATTATATTTGATAATAGTTATACCTAATGATATGTTATTTTTAGATGCTATAATGGTAGTTCTAGTAGCCCTCGAGTTAGTTCTAGCTGCTACAATTGTTAACTCTAGCTACTAAGTTAGTTCTAACCGCTACTTGTTATTTTTGCTTCTACCTTAGTTCTAACTTCTATTACCCTAGCTACTAAGTTAGTTCTAACCGCTACTTGTTATTTTTGCTTCTACCTTAGTTCTAACTTCTATTACCCTAGTTCTAGCTTGTATACAGTCAGTTCTAGCTTATTTTTGCTTCTACCTTAGTTCTAACTTCTATTACCCTAGTTCTAGCTTGTATACAGTCAGTTCTAGCTCACACCTTACTAGTTCTAAACTCAGCCCGTGTTTTTTACCTTCACACTTGTTAATTCATGCTTCCACGTTAGTTCTAGCTTCTATTACCCAAGTTCTAGTATTTATACAGCTAGTTCTAGCCCACACCTTGCTAGTTCTAAACCTAACAAGGGTTTTTTACATGCACACTTGTTAATTCTAGTTTCTAGCTTAGTTCTAGCTTCTATTACCCAAGTTCTAGCTTGTATACAGCCAGTTCTAGCCCACACCTTGCTAGTTATAAACCCAGCCTTCGTATTTTACCTTCACACTTGTTAATTATTGCTTCTACATTAGTTCTAGCTTCTATTACACTAGTTCTAGCTTGTATACAGCCAGTTCTAGCCTACATCTTACTAGTTCTAAACCCAGTCCGTGTTTTTTACATGCACACTTGTTAATTCTTGCTTCTATGTTAGTTCTAGCTTCTATTACCCTAGTTCTAGCTTATATACAGTCAGTTCTAGCTCACACCTTGCTAGTTCTAAACCCAGTCTTCATATTTTACCTTCACATTTGTTAATTCTTAGGTGGGAGCCTAGGGTGTCACCTTAGATTCACTTTTCCCATATATATATATATATATATATATATATGAAAACCAAAACTTGTGTTGTATATATATATATAACTATATATATACAAGGAAACCAATATAATGTGTGTGTATATATGATTGAGCTTAAAGTACTAACACGCATAATATAAACCTAAACTAATATTACCCAAGCTTGATCTTGATCTTCAATAAGCTTGACTTGGTACACATTGCAGATGAAGCTAGAACTTGGATCTTCAACTTGAATTGCATAGGCTTCACCCACTATTCCGCCAACCTCCATTTGATATGATCGTTATGGCGCAATCCATCCATCCTCCAACATATTGTTTGTCTACAACAACTATAAAACTACAAACACTAGACAAACAATATTAGTTATAAATTATTTGTAAATTATTATCAAAACAAGAAGGCCAACACACTAGTCTTCAGATCTGAAGACCCATGATGATGATCTCTATCCCATTACTGGCGATAATGAAAATGACAACTTTTGATGAAAACAAACTGGCGACCACAGTGGGAGCCGACGGCCTTCCTACGAAGGCTGTAGTATCGCAACCGAGGATCCTCATCCCGGTTGACGAAGAGGTCGAATACGAGTTCAACCAACAAAAGTATGAGGAGTATATATCTTCCTCCTCTTCCTCTCAAAAGAGCAAGAAGATCTCTTCCACAAGGAAAGTTCGCTGGTCTTCAGATCTGAAGACCCATGATGATGATCTCTGCCCCGTTACTACTGCATTTGTATTACACAATGCTCCTATGATGCCCGAAGAAGTTCAATCTTCAGATTTGAAACCCTCCTTGGTTAAGGAGCTTATTGCTGAAGGGGCGCCAATTCTATCAAAGAGAGCGCGTCAAATACAACGCCAATGCCTTACACGCCAACTTGCCAAGGCTTTGAAGCCAGTTGACGGGGATCCATTATGAGGCGGATTTAAAGTTTAGGAGGTGCCAATCGCCACAACAGCGAGCGAATACCTTATCCTCTAAACCAGCAACAAATGAGTGGGTCCACGTCAAAAGGACCCGTTCAACCCTTGACGAACACATTCAGAAACGCCGTACATTGCTTACGCATGCTAGAATACTTATGCAGGAAGCTAAGAAACTGCAGAAAGAAGAGGTGGCCCAAAAACCATCAAAACTACGCAAAGTATGGAGAAAAAAGGGCAAAAAGACGCCTAAAATCGTCGAAAAAAAACTTGCCGTTCACTGGCTTGGACAAGGGCCGAGTCACCTCTTACTGGCTCGGCCAAGGCCGAGCTACTACCTACTGGCTTCGGCCAAGGTCGAGTCACCACTTACTAACTCGCCCAAGGTCGAGTCACCAAAATAGTGACTCGTGCCACCCCAGAGCCACCATGGCCTGTTTTTCTCCCGCTTCACTTCCTGCAGTCATCTTTGAGTCTCTGACGGCCCCTGTTCCTGTCCTAACAAATTTTGAACCTTCTTTGGAGCTTCACGACAGTGTGAACTTATCCAGATTCAAAATGAAGATTACAGGTCGTCTCGGTCATTTGCACGAAGGCCAAGGTAAAACTCCAATTAGAGAACGCTTGGGTCCAGCAAGTGAACCCTAAACTACTCGTTAGACTAGGGGTCATACACGTCCTCCCAACAAGTCAAAGGCCTCTCATGTTGAGAAAGTACCTGTAACCGCTCGCATTGGATTGTAAGTTGAAGTCCAATAGCCCGTTAGGGCCTCACGCTCACAAAGGCATGGTTCTGAACGAATGACTCTTGAGAACACCAATGAAGAAAGAGAAGCATGTTCATCAGAAGACAACGATGTTAGATTTGGAAAATCCTACCCGCATACGATAGGTTGCTCCGGTAATCATATCGATGAGTTGTACTATCG